GGGGGGGGGGGGGGGGGGGGAAGGGGTTCGCGCATCAGTGGTTCTTGCTGGTTGTGCAGTACAGGATATTCGAGGTACGAAGAGCGCCACGTAGGTTGATCTATAGCTCTACTCACGCCTCGGTCACAAAAAAAAATCCTGTGGTGGTGTTGTGAAGTATCTCTCATCACTCTCATCACTCTCATCACTCTCATCACTCTCATCACTCTCCCTCCCCTCCCCGAGCCTTCGACCAAAACGAGGCATCGAACACCCCGCCACCTACCTCTTTCTGGCAAGCACTGTACTCTCTCGCCACTACAATGGTTCTCTCTCTGTCTCTCTCTGTCTCTCTCTGTCTCTGTCTCGGTCTTTGTCTCTGTCTCTCTCTCTCAATCTCTCTCNTCTCTCTCTCTCTCTCTCTCTCTCTCTCTCTCTCTCTCACCCTCTCTCTCTCTCTCTCTCTCTCTCTCTCTCTCTCTCTCTCTCTCTCTCCGCCTGTCTCTGTCTCCCTGCGGCCCCGTTTGCATGATACGCACCTTGACTCCTGTCATGTGATCCTTCCTGCCACGAATAAGGTGGAACAGCAAGTCTCCGACTCGCGTCCCTCCCCCGCCCCACACGGCCTCAATGTTCAGAACGCCACCGCCGCCACCGCCGCCAACGTTCCTGTCATTCGAAACCACGGGTTACGGTTCAAGCTGGCAGCATTCTCGTGCAGTCATTCCCGGGTTTGGAGTATGCATAGGAAATTTGTCGAGAGGAGAAGGCTCAGGTAGTGCCGAAGTTGGTGCCCGATGGGACGCTTAAAAAGGTGGGGGCGAGGAAGAATAGGTGAGGTCTGCAGCAGCTGTCTGAATGACCTTCTGCCGGCTTTTTAAAACGCTGCAGGGCTGCGGCTCGTTGCCGGAGCTGTCATTGGTCATCAGTGATGAGCCGGTGGCGTGCCCCGGAACGCCAGATGTGAAACTGTGCCACATGTTTCCGGTAAGTTATGTGAGGGAGCCGGTGCTCTTGGTTCGATGTCCCCGACCCCCGGCTTAGCGGGAGCAACTCCAAAAAAACAGTAAAATTTCTGCGTTGATCACCCATCGCACACACCGAACAAGGATTCATCGGGAAAAACTAGAACGTATGCCGAGGTGCCGCTCAGAAGCACTTCTTGCCGAACAACCAGACCAAACGATCGCCCCACGCTCGACAGCCAAGCCAACCGATCAGTCGGAAAAGCGGACACGGACACACAATCGCCCCACCACCTTCCCTACTTACCATAACGCCTTCCACGCCAAGACAAAGTCTACACCCTCCAATCTCTCACCCATACATCGGCTCCGCCCTGACGTTCCTGCCCCTGCCCCACCCCCCTATTTCTTCTTCTTCTCTTCCATCGTCCCCCTCGGCACAAGTGCCGAACACGAGCAGACGCGCGAGCACGGTCTCCAGAGCCTGCCCATCGGGCAGCTCCTCGAGAGCGCTAGCCGCCGGCAATCGCAGCACCCGCCCCCTTCTGCCGCAGCACCAGGGCGGTAGCACCGGCAGCGATCGGATGCCGCCCACGCGCGCCTAGATGATAAAAAAAGTTGTTGATGTAGCTGCAGTTGTAGTTGTTGTCGTCGTTATTATTGTTGTTGTAGTTATAGGTGCTGTTGTCTTCACATTAGAAACCGTTCCGGTCTCCGCTCAGTACCTTCTAATACCCGTACTGGTCCAACGGACGGTGACAACTACCGTGGTCACAGGTCAAATACCCCCACAAGGAGGTGCGCCTTTCTAGAATCAAAGACCGGAAAACAATAGACCCAGTAAGAAAATCGTCAAACACGACAAGAGTACATGTCAAAAAAGCTTTGCCAACTATGGTGTTCCCTCTCACATTCAGAGACCACATATAGTTTCTGAGAAAAAATTCAAACTCATATTTTAACCGTGGAGAAACAGTCCATAGTGTTGTTATGACCAAACCCGTGAACCCATTGTCCTATACAGCTTTTGATTCGTTGTCGTTGGAGCAAACACCCAGTGAAAAGACAACCATGTCTTTTCGAGGTAGGCCGTGGGGTCAGCCGCCGAAGCGAGACCGGCTTGTGCGGTCTACAGCATAGTCTACACCACTGATACAACCATTTACGCACGTGGTATGGCGGTGGAATGGGACACACACATGTCACGGCGTTTTACGTGTAACTGACGACGCGAAGCGGCACCGATGCCTGCGACAACCCCACGGAGCCCCCTACATTCTCCCGACTGTCAGTCACTGGCATGCCCCCGCTCCCACCCGTACCATCAGCCACAAACCCACCAAGTATCGGGCGTCCGTCTCGCCGCCTGTTCGGCACTGCCTCGGCCGCTGCTGCTGCTGCTGCTGCTGCTGATAACGGTCCTGCCGACCTCTCCCCGAACCCGCCACCCCGGCGGTAGCGCCAGCCGCAGGCCCCCCTACGCTGTCATTGTGGTAGGTGCGGCGAGCGGCGGACGATGCCTGTGCGAATGCCGCGAGTCGGTTAGCCGCGACAACAGCGATCACTACCGCACGAAGGGACGGTGGGACACGAACGGCGGGGACGTCGTCATCATCGCCATGACAGTCATCTCCTACACAAGCGCCGTCGTACAGCAGGCGGCGGCCGTTGCCACTGGGTTTTTTTTCCCGTCGCCGCGTGGTGGCGTCGTTGGGGCTTGCGATGTCGATGTCGATGTCGGTTGTGGCGGAGAGGAGGCACCAGTAGTCCTTTCCGGTCACGGCGGCCGCAACGGAGAACAGCTCCGCCTGCTTTCGGGAGGGAGGGAGAAATAGAAATATCATTTGTGTGTGTGTGTGTGTGAGAGAGAGAGAGAGAGAGAGAGAGACAGAGAGAGA